ATCAGCCCTGAGCTAACATCCATGCCAATCCTCCTCTTTTTGCTGAGGAAGACTGGCCCTGGGCTAACATCCATGCCCATCTTCCTCCACTTTATGTGGGACGCCACCACAGCATGGCCTGACAAGTGGTGCCTCGGTGCGCGCCCGGGATCCGAACCCTGGCCACCAGCAGCAGAGCGCACGCACTTAACCACTACACCACAGGGCCGGCCCTAGACTAACAAAATTCTTAAATCTTACAATTAGTAATAAATAACACGGACTGCACAATTTATCTCCATTTATCACACTTTCTGGTTAGAAACTCATGCTGGTATTTCCAATAAGACAACCACACATTTCCTTTTGCTCTCATAGACATCTGCAAAAGGTTTTCTTCCCTAACACGGGCATGGCCACTGTCTTTCTGACGTGGACAACCAAGAGGAGGGGGAGCTCAGCCTGGGCTAGTGTGACAGGAAACCCCCAAATCAAGACCAAGGAACTCAGAGGCTCTATGGGGAGCTCCCTGGGGAGAGGGTCCCTGTATCTCCCCACACCTCCCTGAAGGGACCCTCCTGCCTCTAAAACGTCCCCACCAAGGGGGCACCTCTGTGACCACTCCCAGGAGAGCATGCCCAGAACGATTCTACTGCCTTTCCCAGCGGTTCTGTCTGCAAGCCCCTCCTTCTCCAGCCTGCCTCTTCTTCCACACATATTCCCGTGGATGGAAGCCCTGCTGCTGCCATGGCAACCATGAAGTCCGGGGAGGAATAGCCTCTCTGTACCCGCCACGCAGACACCAGGGTTTCCCAGAACTCTGACTACAACACCCCCTACCCTGTCCTGACAGGCTCTGCATCCTGCCAAGCCCTCACCAGGCCTGGGGAAGGGTTTCCACGGGTATCTCCCCCCCGTTCCACAGCATCAGCCCTTCCCACTTCTCCTTCTCCACAAGAGGCAGCAACCAGATGTGCCTTCACTCCCCCCTTTACACCTGCTGTGCCCTCAATCTCGTGCCCCTACCCCACCGGATGAGGGCAGCAGGCAGCCGTCAGACCAAGTCCACAGAGCCCTGGCTCACTCTATTCTGGGTCTAGTGTTTCAGACCAGAGCGACTCTCTTAGCTCAGTATTTCCCGAGCCAATCATGGGGATCACCCAGGCACCTGTTAGACATCAGATTCCTAGACCCCACCATAGACCCTGGGACTCCATCTCCAGGGACCTGGAACCAGGGCCAATACTTATCAGCCACACCTGGCAACCAGGGCTCTGGCACGGAGGGCCTGGGGACAAGGGGCAGGGCTGGGCTTGAACCCCATTGAGCAGCGTGAGGCTTACCCCTCCTCATCCTCAATTTGCAGATTTATCAAAGGAAGAATGCCATCGCAGAGCAATGAGAACACAGGGCAACACACTGTAGAAAACTCCAGCATCACATCATTTCCAGTCACACGAATATTGAATTTCTCTTAAAACCACCTAGAAATCACAAGAATCTAAAAAAAGAGCCAGGAATTGAGTTCCGGCTCCCTCCATCCAGTCTCAGCGCATGCCACAAGATGATTTTCTCTAAATGCTATGCTCCCTAACGCTGGGGCGGGCCCTCAGGGCCAGCCTGGATGGGGGCAGCAGGTAATATTCGTTGCCGCTGACTCGACCTCCCGACGGCCGGTCCTGGGAAGTGGCTGCAGGGTTTGCAGAAGCTGAGTCTTTTCTCTGGAACCAAGTCTTCCTCAGACAAGGATCCCTCATCTGTAAGTCAGTGCCCCTTTCCCCCAGGAAAGGTGACAAGCTCTGGAGGCAACAGAAGCAAGGAGTGCCCACCAGCAGGGAGAAGGCCTCCAAGAGTCTTCATTTGTGAAATAAAAATGTGGCCCAGACAATGCCCACCTCCACACACACACACACACAAATACACCTGGACTTGCTTCCCTCTGCCTCTCAGGAGGATGCGTTCTCAGCTGCTGGGGAAACTGAGGCAGATCCATTCTCTATCTTTTTTTTGTGTGTGAGGAAGATCAGCCCTGAGCTAACATCCATGCCAATCCTCCTCTTTTTGCTGAGGAAGACCGGCCCTGGGCTAACATCCGTGCTCATCTTCCTCCACTTTATATGGGACGCTGCCACAGCATGGCCTGACAAGCGGTGCATAGGTGCACGCCCAGGATCCGAACCCAGGCCGCCAGCAGCTGAGTGCGAGCACTTAACCAGTACGCCATGGGGCCGGCCCCCCCATTCTCTATCTTTAAAAAATTACGTAAGTAGGGCCGGCTCTGTGGCTTAGCGGTTAAGTGCACGCGCTCTGATGCTGGCGACCCGGGTTCGGATCCCGGGAGCGCCCCGAGGCACCACTTCTCCCTCCAACACGAGGCCGAGTCCCACGTACAGCAACTAGAAGGATGTGAACCTATGACATACAACTATCTACTGGGGCTTTGGGGGGAAAAAACTGAATAAATAAAATCTTTAAAAAAAAAAAAAAAAAAATTACGTAAGTAGTCCGAGTCAGAGGGCAAGCAAGGCCTAAGGCAGGGCCTGGTCAGCTGAGCCCAAAACTGCTCTTCCTTCCACCAGAAAAGGTCAGCCAGGCTTCCTGAGAGGCCCGGCCAGGCCCTTCCTGGAGTCTCCGGAAATTCCAACTCAAAGGCGAGGAGCACACCAGGTGATCTTTATCAAGCACATCTGGGAACCATCCAACTAGAACCGGATAATGACAACTTGAAAGTGGTTTGAAGGGTTTAGTCATTCACTAAACTCTTTGTCGTATGTGCTTTTCAGAACATGTAACATTTCACAATTTAAAAGTTAAGCAAAATTAAGTACTGAAACCTAAGTACCTGCCCAAAAACATCCCCTCCCAGATGTTTACCATCTGACCCTTCACCAGTCAGGCACCCAAAGAAATCACAGGATTCACAAATCAGTGGATGAGGCATCTAGGATGTGCTCTAAATAATCCAAGCAGGAGGAGGGATGGGAGAGACAGAGGTGAGACAAGACCAATCTGTGGGCAATGGGTAGACAGAGAGAGGTTCGCTACACCGTTCTTCTGCAAGTGTGTGGAATTTCATATTATACAAAATGTTGTAAATCACAGGAGCAACCTGAGGGATCCTTTCCACACTCCCCCTCCTCTTGGGTCTCTGCTTCTCTAGGTGGCATTTTCCAGAATGTCCCAATACACAACACTCATACCTCCAAGCCTTTGCACAAGCTATTCTCTCCACCAGACATGCCACCATCCAATGGAAACTGCTATT